TTTTAGTGCAAAATACGATTTAGGCTAAAAATGATGGCTCATTAAGTCAATATATACTTCATACTAAAATCCCATAAAATCAAATTTTCTTATTTGATGTGTAAGGAATAAAAGCCGCCAAAAATTATCTTGAGAAAATAATTATTCCGAAAAACCATTTTTCATACTTAGTCAATATTGTACCTCTACTAAAAAAATTATAGGTCTACCAGTGATGGCAACCCAATGGCAATTACTATTCATATGGGATTAATTTTATTTTTATGTATGAGATTAATAATATATAAAAAAAAATTGATAAGTATGTATAAAAAAATATTTCTGAATTTTGTTTCAATTTTTTTAAAAAAAAATTTACGTTGATGACGTCGCTCTTAGGCAACAACTCAGGCTATTCTTGCTTTCAGGGCTGTCCAGACTTGGTGGAGCCCACCATCTGCCCAAGCTGGATTGCTGCGCTGGAAATGGCTTTTGAGGATATGCTCTTATGAGCCTACATTGTCTCGTAATCACATGAGTTTCGTAAAATATGAGAGAAAATAATAGGCTGAAAAGAAATTGGTGTATCTATTATGAATTCTAGATTTAAAAACAAAACCAAAAACAAAAAATTGAAAATTATATATAGTTGCATACATAAGGCCATCTTCAGCCATAGGCTATATCCCAAATATAGCCCTAAAATAATGCAAAACCCATCTCCAGCCATGGGCAAAACAAAATTTTGGCCAAATTTAGATGGCCATATTTTGCCCTTTAGCCCTCCAATCGGTCCACATTTAGCTCAACTTTGGCCTCAGCCAAATTTTTTGTGGGCCCCATACATGTGCTTTTGAAGAAGATAAATTATCAAGTGTGGGCAAGAGCACGAATCATCTCATACAAATGCATATCCAATTGCCAACATTAAAAGTGCTGACGTGAGTTGGATATATATAGTAAAAAAATTATAAAAAATTATTAGTCATGACCGTTGGAGGTTAGACCATTGAAACTCATCCTTTTTTATTTATTTATAATTATTTATAAATGTGGTCACCTTTTTAAATGCTTTCAAGTGTTGTTTAAAAAACTTAGGCTTTTTATCACAAATGGTCCTTTACGTTTATGAAATTATCACGAATGGTCCTTGAGGTTTTTTTGTGACACTAATAGTCTTTAACGTTTGGGCTTTTTATCACAAATGGTCCCTGCCGTTATAAACTCTGTTAAGTGTGATGTGGAAGATAAGTGGAGCCCACATTTTGTGACATGTGGGTAAAAAATAATTAAATAATTTTTTAATGAAAATTCAATTTTTTTTTCTGCAACTTTTCACCCCCCTTTCCTTACTCAGTTTCTCTACCCCTCTGCCCTCGCTCTCCACCCTTTGCTCTACATCTTTTCTCCCTCTGTTTTTTTTATTTCCCACTGCCACCTGCAAGAAAAAAATATAAGATATACAGTTGCTCTCCATCTCTAAATCAATGATGAGTTTTCGCATAATCTGGTTTTTACAGACATAGCATGCTGAAATTGTCTATTCTAACTCTATTCCTTTCTCATTTCAGGCTTCCCATAAAGCTTTTGTATATGGGTCAATGTGGATTCTATACCTACAGCATTGTTGCCCTCCTTACATGGGAGACTTGAAGGAAGGATTTCTCAGTGATGACGGGTCACCATGTAATTATTGTTCTCATGATTGGGTTCTCATACATTACGAGGTATTTTTCAGGTTTTCTGCGAGCACAATAATATGTTGGTACCACAAAGCAGATATTTAGCAATGTGCATTTGTGTGGTGTGGAGGATCTCATGCAATGACTTTCTTTTCATTTTTCGGCCACTTGTAGCTTTTTTCGGATTGGCTCAATCATTCTTGCCCTGCATGACGAGAGTGATGTATTTATGGAAGCTGCCAAGGTTTTCAAGTATTCTGAGAAGGAGCTTGCCGCAAGTGTGTTATTTGGATTTTTTGCTGTTTCGTGGCTCATACTGAGGCTAATATTCTTCCCTTTCTGGGTTATAAGGTCATCAAGGTCAATACAATGTTACTGATGCTCTCCATCTCTAGGCAACTGTAAGGAAGGGGATGAAAAGTTGCAGGTGGCAGTGGAAAAGAAAAAAACAGAGGGAGAAAAGATGGAGAGCAAAGGGTGGAGAGCGAGGGCAGAGGGGGAGAGACTGACTGAGAGTTAAGGAAGGGGGATGAAAAGTTGCAGAAAAAAAAGAAGGAATTTTCATTAAAAAATTATTTAATTATTTTTTATCCACATGTCACAATGTGATTGGACATGTGGGCTCCACTTATTTTCCACGTCACACTTAACAGAGTTTATAACGGCAAGGACCATTTGTGATAAAAAAACCCAAACGTTAAGGACTATTAGTGTCACAAAAAAACCTCAAGGACCATTCGTGATAATTTCGTAAACGTGAAGGACCATTTGTGATAAAAAGCCAAAAAATTATAAAAAATTCTTAGTCATGGAATATTGTCTCTAAATAGTAGTTTAATTAAATTAAATAATACATAGTTGTGGAATGTATAAATGTTGTACCATAGTTTTTCTCAAAATAATAAAATATGAAAGACCCTAAAATATAGCCATGCATGACTAGAGATGGAAAAATTTAGCCATGAACTATTCTTTAAAAAATTAATATTTTGGAGAGCTAAATTTTTAGCCATGAACTACATTTAGCCCTATTACTGGAGATGGCCTAACATGCACAAATATTTTTATATGTCATTAGTGTCCGTATTTAGCTTTTTCTTATGTGAACAACTGTGAACATTGTCCCTTGTTCAATTACATGTCCTTCTTTTTCCTCATGTGTTGGTGAGTTGGGTGTGTGTGCCCACAGCCCACCTGAAATTAAATTTGGTCAAACATAAGACAAATTCATGGCCCCCAACTGTTTTTATAATAAACTTTCCTCTTCCTCCAAAAGGTTAGCTGATGTGAGTACGGATGTCAGTCTTATTCAAAGTGTGTACGGTTTATATTTGAATAAGTGTTTTGAACTTCCTTGCTTTTGCCATCGACGGACTTTTACTTCTAGATGTTGCATGTCAGCTTCACTGAAAAGTAGTTGCTTTCTGCTTCTTCTTTTTTTTAAAAAATTTATTTTATTCTTTTTTCGGGTTATTATAATATGTGTGATATATCACGTGGTCGCATTCTAATATCACAAATGATCTGAGAAAAATCTAAAAATTGAAAATAGCACATTAATAAATACTAAATACAAGAAATTATTGCTCATGTGACATATATTTTCTCTAATATTTGTTTGTTATTGATTGATGAGCATTTTCCTAATAAGTTTGGTACACGTGATAACCAACGCATTCATGAGCTATAATATTCTTCGTTATCTAGAGAAACTTGTACACGTGATTCTAATATGGTTGGCTGATCATAGACCAGCTACTCGTATTTGGGGTATACTCACCAGAAAGGTCTACCAGAATACTAAACTGGTAGGCTCTGTTAGTATTAGTAATCTGTTGGAACGCACGCCGGCCATACCATTTGCTAGACTGTTATTTTATTTTATTTTTCTACGAACGAACATTCTTATGATATCAGCGATCTCTAATAAAGGGATAAATACTCTTAACATCTCGAGCTACGTAATAAATGAGATAACATTTTGTATTATAGAATGCTCTTTGGTTTGACAAAACGTGCTTCTGTTTACACCCAAAAGCGTACAGTAGAGCTATCAATTCCCAACAAGCTAGCTAGTATTTACATTGGCAATGATATAATATAAAGCCAGTCATGATGTGCTGCGTGACTGCGTCTTGTAAAGCCAGCGGCCTAACAGATTTCGGGGTTCAAGATTTTTGAACAACACATTTCATTTGACAGATCTTGTTATTGGTTTTGGGCAGGCCAAAACTAAAGATTACTGAAGTTAGCCAAGACCCAGCTAAGGTAGTAAGTGCAAACGAAATTCTCCTCACAGATGTATGGCCCATATGACAACTAAAGCCCAAACATCCCGAGTCCGACATGTAGAATAGTTTGTGACATATTTTATTATTTATTTTTTTATACAAGCGATAATTTACTTTAAAGATTACTGAAGTTAGCCAAGACCCAGCTAAGGTAGTAAGTGGAAACGAATTCTCCTCACAGATGTATGGCCCATATGACAACTAAAGCCCAAACATCCCGAGTCCGACATGTAGAATACTTTCTGATCTTTTTTATTTTTTATTTTTATATACAAGTGATAATTTACTTTAAATCAATTTAATATACTCGAAGTCGAAGAGAGATTCAGAAAAACGAAATCACACATTGACGGATATATATCACAAGAGTAATGCTATTTGGACACACAACATTGACACACTTAGTGACACCCGCTGATGTGTCAATGTATCATTTACTCTTCTTTTCTCTTCGTTTTCTATTCAGCGAATGATACATTGACACATCATCGGGTGTCAACTAAGTGTGTCAATATTGTGTGTCCAAATAACATTACTCGATATGAGTACAAGCCCGGAGCTAATTTTAGGTATGTTTAGTTACAAAGGTAACAAGAGAGAGAGGGGGGATTCAAAATCTAATTTTAGGTATGGAGGTAAATGCTCATTACGACCGGAGCTACAAGCCCTCCACAACAACCAACCTCTTTACCTACAAAAACAACTTGTTTTGACCTAAAATGACATCACAATATTAGTTAGTTAAATTTAATATCAAAATTAACCTTATCAAAGTTGTCATAACAAGATGATGATGAAAGTGAAATTATTAAAAATCAATCTAAAGTGATAATCATCAATTTATCTATCAAGGTTTCTCTAAATAATAAAATAAAAACTCAATCAAACAAACCCGGGGTTGATGAAGAAAGTTGGCGCAAGAATAGCACATTAGTAAAACAACCTCGGCAGATTGGATGGAGCCAAGTGGCTGGTTTTGAACCCGCCAATCCAAGGCCCAATAAAATACATAAAGTCAAATGATTTGACAATCATAAAGGTAAATTGACCAATACTTGTTAATTCTCCTAATCAATTTCGTCTTTTACTCTCGTATTTTTGGGTCTGCTGGAACAGCGAGGAGCTGAGTGACAGTGCCGTCACCATGAAGAGGAAGAAGAAGGGAAAATCGTCACAGTCGTCGAAGTCAATTCCGCTTCTAACACTGAGAGCAGCCAAAAAGGAGGAAGAACCCAGTAGTCGCAGCGAAAGCCAATTGCAATTGGTCACCACCACCACCACACCCTTCAGACTCCCCGATGATTGGTCCGTTGAGGAAAAGCGCCGTCCCCTTAGAAATACCTCCAGCCCCGCCCGAATCGACAAGGTCTCTCTCTGTTTCTCTCTGTGTCTCTCTCTAAACTTGTTCAATTGTAATTGCATGATGTGCAATGCATATGCTTTGCATGCATGGATGGCTTGCTATGTTTGTATAAATGCCTGAGTGGTTCTTTGTTGTTGGGGGGTTTTAGCAACGTTTTGAGTCGTATTAAAATTCATGTGATTCTGACATGCTTTGTTTAGATTAATGGGATGTTTTGAATGGTGGGTTTGTGGGAATTTCTCATTGCAGAGTGAAAAATTGGGAAACTTATGGGTGGTAATGGTTTTGTTTTGGATTAATAAAGTGCCAAGATAGGCATTGGAATGGATTTACTGTTACTAGGCTCCATTTTACTATCCATTAAGTTAATCCCAGCAAGAATTTGAAAGGGAAAAAAGAATGCAAATGATTGGAGTTTAGAGCCAATTGATCCTATCTAGATTCCTTTTTTTGCATAAGAAAATCAGGGTCTTTGTTAATACCCAGTAACTGTAAATGTTTAGGGTGGGATTCTATTATTATTTTTTTTTTATACTCTTCAATTCCTGCTGCACATGCTCTGTGATCAAGTAAAGAACTCCCCTTTCTATATATCATCTTCCATATTTTTTTTCTCTTTTCTGTTGCATATGTTTGCTGTTTTGCTGCTGGCATTGTAACTTTCAATCGGCACATCTTGATGTTATGCTTTCCATAATGGGTTTCTATATATAATATTTCTTATTTTTGAAAGTTCACTATGAAGATTATTATGTTGTGAACTTATTCTATTAAGTCTTATGGGGGATCAGATCTGAGACCTTTCATGTAATTGTGTAGTATTACATTGAGCCTGGCACGGGATTGAAGTTTCGTTCGTTGCCAGCTGTACAGAGATACCTAACAGAAGGGCAAATCGAAACACATATGAAGAAACTAAAACCAGGCAGTGAATGCAATGTGAGTTCTAGGATCTTCTTGTTTTTCAGTTAATGATAATACTTAGGATTCAAGAACTAAAAGGATTTTAAGTTCAGGTTTTTTTTTCTTTCTGTTGCTATGAGGGTTACAGTGTGAAGATAAATTTAGAATAAAAAAGAAATATAAACGCAGAAGTTGTGCTTAGTTCTGTACCACTTTTATCCTCTGCACTAAATTTACCACAATTGCTATAGAATGGTCTTACAAGCCATGTACAAGTTGGGAAAAGAAATGGTGTAGACTTTATCAGGAATCTAAATTACAAAAACTGAGGCCCATCTTGGTGATCTTATCTTATACATCCAAACCCTTTCCAAGATGTTGTCAAGAATATTGTTAGAATTTGTCTACTTTTTCCATGAGAAAGTGTATAGAAGAATTATTTGGGGCCAGTTATAATATCTTGGCCTCTTGCCTCTTCTTTTCCTTTCTTCTTGTAGGTACTATACTTTTAATACGATTCCAGAATTAAATTTGGTTATGCATATTTATTTGAACTTCAGCCGTTGCTACAATTGGTGTGCACTGATTAAATGGTCCAAACTTTGATACACTCAAAAGTTAAAAAAGTTATAGTATATTGGGGATCTTTTGAATCCATAGGCAGGCAAATAATGAAGGAGCTAAATCATAAGTGGATTTCAGAAGTGTCTCTGATCACCATATAGCAGTCCAAATTGTAGAGAAAAAGCTTGGAATGCCTAATATATGAAGGGAAAATCCTCATTGACAGTGTCAATCTGCAGATGCAAATTATACCAGGCACCACCTGTACTTCGTCCTTTATACTACCTGATGATTGGGAAATTGAGAAAAAACAGCGAAAGAATTCTCATGTTATAGACAAGGTACCTGTTTTGTTTCAAAATTTTGGTGGTTTTTCTCTTCTCTGTTGTAGAAAGGGTATATCTAGCTTGCACTTGCTGAAAGTACTTGCATACTTCCTAGGGTGAAATTTCACAAATGCACGTGTGTGGCACTCATGTATCTGCACTTTGCATATGCATGTTCAGATGATATCTTTGCTATTATAAAGCCCTCTTTGTGGTCACTGACTTCTACAAAACATATACCTTGGCTTAACATCTATTTAACCTACAATTTAGTTAACTCACATCGACTACACAAAACGGGAGGAATGAAGTTAACAAAAGGAGTTGATAGAAAGAGAAGGTTTGTGTGCTATATTCAAGATTTCTTTTCCACTTTGCCCACATTCAGCACAACCGTATTGAGGTGGTTTATAAATTGGCATTTGATAAATTTGCCTTGGTAGCCACCTTATAGCTTGCATATGTCTTCCCTTCACATGAATTCTAAATGCAGCATTGTGTTGAACAGTTCTTTTACCTTCTGTGAAATATTTTTAAGAGTTGCTTCTAGAACATTATTTCTTCTATTCTATTTTGATCGCTGGACATATATTTTGCAGACTTATATAGAGCCAGGGACTGGACAGCGGTTTCGCTCTTTAAGAGCTGTTGAGAGATACCTAACAGAAGGGAATGAAAATACTCCATTTAAGGTATTGATGCCTGCCAATAAGTCTAGTGTATGTTCTTTTACAATTACTGATTAAACAGGTCCTCGCAGGTCGTGGAGGAAACATGTGGAACCCCTTCATGGACGATTCTGAGGTCTCCGGTTGTGTAAAGCAAAAGTGGGCCGAGACTTTTAAATCATCCATGTATGGTGGAAACATTAGTGCACCAAGTCATAAGTTATAACTGTTTTGTCAGACTGGAACTTCTGTAATCTATACTGTTTTATTTGTTTACTTTAGATGCTAGCCCACCCAAAGTTTTACCAGATCCTTAACATTTTAGCGATAAGATGTATATATGGATGTGTTTTCATAAAAGGAGCAGTTTGTAACACCAAAGAACACAATAATACTCATTTTGCATTTAATGACCAGCAGCTGATGTCTTGAGATGGAAATGTATGATATCTAAAAATTAAAGCTAGATTGAGCTTCTGGTGAGGCAGATTTATTCACTTGGCATATAGAAATTTTAAGTATTACCACATCAAATGGTAATACTTATGACCAGCAAAAGTGAGTTTTACTTTTTAATTAGGTAAATTCTCTTAATTGAACTATAAATCCAATATATAGCCGAAATAATATGAAAATGATTCGTACCGACATGAGCTATCAAATTTTCCAACTTATGACCTGCAATTTCTGTATTAAGCAAAGCCAAGCCAAGTGGCTGATCTGAATTGTAAGGGAACTGCATTTGTCACTGCCATTGAGTTCATATCATAAAATTTGTAATTCCAACTTCCAACTAGAAAGCACTTTGTAAACCTGATTTTTTTTTTCTTTCTTTTTCTGGGTTCTGCTAGAATAGTGGGGAACATTGGTCAGTCTGTGATTTGACGTGTCCGAGGCAGAGTGAGTGGCTTTGCAAAGGGGAGGTTCTTCTTCTTGTGAGTCTTAAAACCAGGCCCCAAACAAACAAACACCTTTGCTAGAGTCACTGACAGTAGGGTGACAATGAAGAAGAGCAGATGGTCACAGTCCAACCCAATTCCGCTTCTAACAAAAAGGCCAGCCGGAGAAGAAGAAGAAGAACCTAGTTGTAACAGCAAAAGGGACCTGCAATTGGTCACCACCTCACCCTTCAGACTCCCCGATGGTTGGTACGTTGAGGAAAAGCGCCGTGCCCTTAGCAATACTTCCCACCCCGGAAAAATCGACAGGGTCTCTCTCTCTCTCTCTCTCTCTCTAAACTTGTTCAAAATGTAAATGCTTTGCATGCATGGATATTTTGCTTGGTGGATGTATGTAGTTCGCTATGTTTGGCTTGATGCCTTGGTGGGTCTTTTTCGTTGGGGGTTTAGCAGGGTTTTTGACTGGTATCAAGATTCATATGGCATTCTTTGCAAAGCGTCTGAGATTTTATTTAAAATTATGGTTTTGTGGGAATTTCACATTTTGTAGGCTCTACTTGAATTGAATATCAGTAAAATTCACCCCAGAAAGAATTTTAAAAAGAAAAAGTGAAGGAAAGTGATTGGAGTTTAGTTCACTGGCTGGCTCTATTAAGAGACAGTTGACCCTATGAAGATTTCATATTTTTCCATAAGAAAGTTTGGGTCTTTGATAAAACCCAGTAAATGTTTAGGGTGAGGATCTATTATTTTTAATATATTTCTTAATTCATGTCGCACATGCTCTATGAGATAATCTGGGTCTTCATGAAACCCAATAAGCATCAGGTAGGGTCTACCATTAATTAATAGTGCCTTTTTCTCTTCTTATATTTAGTTTCTTTTCTGTTGCACATGTTCCCTGTTTTTTGGCTGCTGGCACCGTAAACTTTCAATTGGTACATCTTGATGATCTTATAGGATAAGACCGACTTTTTTGTATGAAATCAAACTTTCAATTGGAACATATTTGATGCTATGCTTCCCAGAATGGATTTTTAGGCCACCCAGCCATCTTGAGCCCTTTCATGTCATTGTGCAGTATTACATTGAACCTTTCATGTCATTGTACAGTATTACTTTGAGCCTGGCACGGGACTGAAGTTTCGTTCGCTGTCAGCTGTACAGAGATACCTAACAGAAGGGAAAATCGAAATACGTACCAAGAATTCAGAACCAGGCAATGAATGGAATGTGAGTTCTTTGACCTACTTGTTTTTCAGCTAATGATAATACTTAGAACTCAGTAACTAAAATGATTTTACGTTTGGTTTTTTCCTTTTGTTACTATGAGTGTTGCATTGGGAAGATAAATTTAGAAAAGAAGAAACACAAACCCAGAAGTTGTGCTTAGTTATGCACCACTCCTCTGCACTAAATTTACCATAATCACTTTAGCATGGTCTTACAAGCCGTGGACAAGTTGGGAAAGGAAGTGGTGAAGACTTTATCAGGAATCTAAATCACAAAAACTTAGGCCTATCTTGGGGATATATCATATTATAGGATGCATCCATACCCTTTCCAAGATATTTTCAACAATATTTTCATTTGTCTTCTTTTTCCATGGGAAATTTATTGAAGGAATTATTTGGGCTGAATTATAATGTCTTGGACTCTTGTCACATGGTTTGGTAGAGGTTCCACAAGATTAAGGTACCATTTTTCAGGTACTATACTTCTCAATATGATTCCAGAATTAAACTCGATTTTGCATGACTATTTGAATTTTTCCCACTGCTACAATTCGTGTGCACAGATTAAAAGTAAACTTTGATATATTTAAAAACTTAGTTATAATCCAGTTGGGCCCTTTTGAATCCATAGGGAGGGAAAGGTAACCATGTGGAAGGAGCTAAATCATAAATAGATTTTAGAAGTATCTCTGATCATGGTATAGCAAATTGAAGGAAAAAGAGGCTTGCAATGCCTGAAATATGAAGAGAAAATCCTCATTGACAATGCCAATCTGCAGAAGCAAATTACACCACGCACCACCTGGAGCACTTCATCCTTTATACTACCTGATGGTTGGGAAGTTGAGGAAAAGCCACGAAACAATTCTCGTATCATAGACAAGGTACCTGTTTTGCTTTAAAAAATTTACATATCTAGCATGCGCTTGCTGAAAATACTTGCATTCTCAACACAGGGTGAAATTGCACAGATGCACATTCTGAGTGTGCATGCATATGCACTTTACATATACATGTACAGATGTTATATTTACTGTTATAAAGATGATCCCTCTGTGTGGTCACCGACTTCACCAAAATGTCTGTATTACCTTAACATCCTCTAAATTATAGTTAACCCACATCAACTATACAAAAGGGTTGTTATTGTATATTAGTCGAAAATTTCAAAAGAATAGAAATTGAAGAGAACTTGAGGAAAGAAGTTGACAAAAGGATTTGAGGGAAAGGGAAAGTTGGGAAAATTATGGTGTATGTGCTCGTTTTCTCTATATGGAGCGTGTAGTGAGCAGTGCTTTATTCAAGATTTCTTTATTTCCTCTTTTTTAAGAATGAGCATGACCATATTGAGGTGAGATTACAATTGGCATTTGATAAATTTGCCTCAGTAGCAACTTTATGTGCTTATGCCTTCCTTTAAAGAACATTCGAATGCAACATTGTGCTGAACAGTTCTTATCGTTTTGTGAAATGTATTTTAGACAATCCATTGTTCTGAAAGAGAACATTATGATGTTGGTTCTAGCATACCTTTCTATTTTTGATTGCTGGACATGAGGAACCTGTGTTTTAATAGAACTTGAAAGTCAGTTGCATTTGCTTGTTCATTGTTTAGCACACTTCACTCCAGAAACATGAGATTTTTAATTTTTTTCTTTTTTGAAGACCTATATCGAGCCAGGGACTAGACAGCGGTTCCGTTCTATAATATCTGTTGAGAGATACCTAACAGGAGGAAATGAAGATACACCTCTCAAGGCATTGATACCTGCCAATAATTCTGGTGTATGTTCTTTTACAATTACTGATTAAACAAAGGTTTCTTTGCTCCTCCATTATCCTTGGCCTTGTCCAATTGTGCTTGTGTTTCAGCTTTCACCTGGCTCAGGCCGTCAGAAGATGAAAAGTTTGGGTGAGATACAGTCCCAGAAAGTTGTCTCTAGTTCTCTGACGAGAAATATTTCTGGTGCGAACGACAGACCCTCCAAGCTCAATTTCGGCAGACCACCAGCAAAAGTGAAATGGGTCCTCGGAGGTCCTGGGGGGTGTATGTGGAACCCCTTCATGGACGAATCAAAGGTCCCCGATTCTGTATTACAAAAGTGGTCCGAAACTTTCGTTTCATCCCTCTATGGTGGAAAAATTGGTGCACCAAGGTCTTAAGTTATAACTGTTCTGCCAAAGTGAAACTTCTGTAATCTATGCTGTTTGTTTACTTCTTTAGTTTAGATGCAAGCCCACCCAAAGTTTTGCCAGATACTTAACGTCTTAGATATTAGTAGATGTAACTTTAAGTCTGTGATGAGGAGGTGGTGATATGCATATGTAGATGTGTTCTTAGAGCACAAAGGAGAAGTTTGTACCTTTGCAGTAACATTTTTGGTGATGGATGCAATTTGTTCTGGGTGGACGGAATGTAAAAAACCCGTTTTAGGCTCAAGTGAAATGAACTTCATGGATCCACTGAAATGAAATCATTGAACCCAATAGTCAATTTGCAGGGGAAAATTGTTTGATGTTTAAATCTGCAGTAAATTTGGAAAGTAAATCTTGTGTATCATTAGTGATCTTATGTAAACTTGTCTTATACTCAAAAGAGTAAATCCTGTTTGGTGTAAGGAAAGTCTTGTAATGAATATTGCGCAATTGCTTAAAAATGATTGGCTCAGTGGCTCACTCCATCCTCAAGATTCTTTCACAAATCTTCTTCTCATCATTCTTTCATGTATTCTTATTATTTTTTGAGCTCATGAACTGACAAATATATTTTAAGTATCACCACATCAAATGTAATCATAAACTGACACATTTTTTACTTATTGAATTGTTCAAGATCATCAAGTATCCGTGTAAATGGAACTAGTAGCGAATTCAAATTTTGAAATCACTTTTTTTTTGTTGCATGAACATAAATTGTGTTAAAATGTTACTCTCTCTTATACCATATATATCATACATAAGCATCAATTTAATTCCCCGTTTAAGAGATAGAAGAGATGGGGGAAATTATAATTTTAACACATTGGTTCCAAACTTGTACACTTTTTGCTAAAGCTCTAGATTTGTCGACATTAGGTGTAGGCTCAAGAGCAGAGTTGAAGAATAGATGATGGCAAATTTTGCCTACAGACACAAGCTCATAGCAACAACCTTCTGCTACACTCCCACCTTTGAAAATAGTTTCACCAACTTCCCGAGCACACTTAATGGATATTTGTTTTTTACATTCATCCATTGTTTTTGATTTTGAAGCCTTTGAGGTTGGAATTGGGATAGAAGATGTGCGGGAGACGGCAATTCCAACACATCGGTTCCAAAGTTGTGTACTCTTTGCTAAAGCTTCAGATTTGTCTACATTGGGTTTAAACGCAAGAGCAGAGTTGAAGAATAGATCATGATAAGTTTTGCCTATAGACACAAGCTCATTGCAACAATCACCTGTTACACTCCCACCTTCAAAAATACTTCCACCAACTTCCCAAGCGCAGTTAATGGAGATATGTGATGCCTCTAAGGTTGAAATTCCAAAACCTACCAAAATCATTCTAGAGGGACTCACCAAAAGCAAAATGACCAACAACGGATACATATGTAGTGCGGCCATAGTACTTTGTGGTACTACCGAGTTAGTTTTTATTTTCTCTAGAAATGGAAAGAACTCTTGGATGAGTCGAGTTTTAAGAATTTGTTTATTTATAAGGTTTCTTGCAAGGGTTCGAGTGACGTGGAATATGAAAACACCCTAATACCTCATAAATACATAACCGCTTTAATTCATCTCGATATTAAAGGCGAGAGTTTCTTCAACTTGGTTACGTTGCAATACATTGTAAACCCATAATCGTTTCTGATTGAACCTATTACTTATACAACATTAATATAGTCGAACAGTTATTCACATGGTAAAGATGTTTGTTGTTGTGAACAACATTTGGTAGAACAATTGGAGGCCCTATTTAATTAAGTAGCCGTTTAATGATTTCAATATAATAATAAAATACATTGATATAAATTACTTGGTATGGTGAATGGTGATGCTTAATTATCTTAACTAATTATTGGTATATTAGAGCATGCACAATGGGAGGGTGTATAATGAGGTGTATGTTAAATATACACCTTTTGTGATCGGAATCACCCGCAATGGAGAGGTGTAAACGAGTGTAAATTTGCATCACCACCATAAGATGTAAATTTAGATGCACATGTACATTTTTTTTACATCTCTTGTAGGTGGGACCTACATGAGAAAAAGTGGACAAAAGTGGGAGCTATAGTAGAAAAGGTGAAAGAAATCAATTATACATCTTCCCCACTGAAGCAAAAATCACATTTACAACCCTTGGAGGTGTAAAGGGGATATAAAAGTGGCTTTACACCCCCGAAAATACATCCTCCCAATGTGGATGCTCAAAGGTCAGTAAAGTTAAATAGTACAACAACCAACATATTTCTTTGGTTGCAAGACCAATGAGTATGGGCCTAAGAAATCCCTGGATGAAGAGCACAATAATTAGCCACTAAGAGCACTTCCAGCAGTTTGCCTTTGCCATGGCAGAGGGGGGCGGGGGCTAGGGCAGCTACCCCTATTCATGTGAATAGTGGCTTGTGGTGTTTCCACCCATTGCCATGACAACAACTATTCACATGAGATGAGGAGAGAAATTTGTATAGAGTTTTGGTGTGGGAAGTGAAAACTATGACTAAGTATTTATTTATTTTTAAAATCTGAAATTTTTTGTATTTTTTTTCGATTTTTTTTAAAAAAATTTTGTTGTAGACGTCATCACTGACGTCAGCAAACCCGGGCTTGAACTTAGACTCCATCTTGCTTGAGGGCTGACTTGGTTTCATGAGCCCCAGTGGCTGCCCTGGCTAGCCCTTGCAGTTGGAAACTATTTTTTGGCCCAAACCTCCCCAGCCCGTGCTGCTGGAAGTGCCCTAACGACCAACAAATGAACCCATGCATTTGCGTTAACACCAACCAAACCATCGAAATTGAGATTAATAAAGAAGTCGATAAAGTGGTCTCACAATAAGATGAAACTTCTCTTTTGACGGTCTCAAATTTTCCAACTAACAATTTCTCTAACACTTTTTTTTAGTGACAAATATAAATCTTTTTTTTTTCTTGGCAGCGTGTCAAACCGTGGCTCGAAATCAACGCCAGGTGGCTGATTTAACTGTAAAAGAAGCTGCATCGTCAGTGTCACTCCCATTGTCATTGAGCTTAAATCATGAACTTTAACCAGACCCCAAAAGAAGCATCTTTGCTTGAGTGACAGTGCCGTGACCATGAGGATGCGCAAATCGTCACAGTCGAAGCCAATTCCGCATCTGACAATGAGGCCAGCCGAAGATGATGAAGAAGAGGAAGAAGAACCCAGTAGTAGCAGCAAAAGGAAATTGCAAATGGTCACCACCTCACTCTTCAAACTCCCTGATGGTTGGTCCGTTGAAGAAAAGCGCCGTCCCCTTAGCAACAGTTGCAACCCCGGCCAAATCGACAGGGTCTCTTTCTCTCTTTCACTCTCTAAACTTGTTCAAAGTGTAAATGCATGTACAATGTATATGCTTAAATGCTTTGCGTGTGCATGGATGCTTTGATTTCTGGATTTGTGTCGTGTGCTATATGTTTGTATAAATGCCTGAGTTGTTCTTTGTTGTTGGGTTTTTAGCAGGGTTTTGACTGACCGGTATTAAAATTCATGTGATCACTAGATTCTGGGATGTTTTTAATATTCCCTTTGTGGGCCTTTCTCATTGCAGGGTTAAAAATTGGGCAACTTGAGGGTGGTTGATTGATTTGGATTAATTGGGATAGATTTACTATTACATGGCTCTGTTTGATTATCTGTAAAATGTTTTCCCAGAAAGAATTTAAAAAGGGAAATGGTTGACTTTAGGTTCACTACTAGCTGGCTCCATTTCGAGCCAATTGATCCTGTCAAGATTACTCTTTTTTGTATGAGAAAATCTGGGTTTTTCTTAAAACCCAATAAAATATTTAGGGTAAGGATCCACTATTTATAATAATAGTTTAAATCCTGTTGCACATGCTCTCTGATCCAGTAAAGGCTCCCCCTTTCTATAAGATATCTGGGTTGAGACCCAAGATACATCAGTTCTACCATCAAATAATGTTCTTTTCTCTCTGTTTTGTTTTTTCCCTTTACTGCCAATCCCATCGAGATAGCGTAATGCTTGAGCAATATTGATGTTTTATGCTACATATCCTACATTGGGTTTTTAGGCCACTCAGAACGATACCATAGCAGCCATCTTGCACTAATATCCAAATGGATGTTATAAGTTTTTTGAAATGAAACTCTGTGTTATCTACTAGTCTAGAATGATTATGATAATCAAGAATGGGAATGCAGTTTTAGAATTTCCATTCTCCAACATGTGAATTATACAAATCTGCCTCCCCCACACTATTTAACTTTGTTGTGTATACTAATTCTTATTATGTTTTGAAGTTATTGTATTAAATCTTATGGGGTCAGGTCTGAGACCTTTCATCTAACCTTGCAGTATTACTATGAGCCTGACACTGGACTGAAGTTTCGTTCGCTGGCAGCTGTTCAGAGATACCTAACAGAAGGGCAAATCGATACACATACTATAAGATCCAAACCAGGCAGTGAATACACTGTGAGTTCTAGGATCTACTTACTTTTTCAGTTATGAAAATATTTAGAATTCCTGTTAAAAATTATAATATTTAGAACTCACTTGCTAAAAGGATTTGAAGTTTGGTTTTTGTGTTGCTATAAGGGTTACAGTGGGAAGATAAATTTACACAAGAAAACAGAAACATAAACCCAGAAGTTATGCTTACTTCTAAATCAAAAAATTGAGGCCAATCTTGGTGATCTTACTGGATACAGGCAAACCCCTCTTCCAAGATATTGTCAAGAATATTGTTAGCTTTTGTTTCTTTTTCCGTGAGAGAATGAATTGGTTTGGGCCCAAGCATAATGTCTTTGACTCTTGCTACATGGTTTGGTAGAGGGTTCACCAGATTAAGGTACCATATTTTTCAGTGTGATTTTCTTTCGTCTTTAAGTTACTGTACTTTTCAATATGATTCCAGAAGTAAATTTGATTATGCGTATGTATTTGAATTTTAGCCATTGTTACAACTGGTGTGCACAGATTAAAGAGACAATAATTTGATGTACTTAAAAACTTAATAAAACTATAATCTTGTGGGGCCCTTTTGAATCCATAGGCAGGCAAAGGTAACCATGAGGAGGGAGTTAAATTATAAATGGATGTTAGAACTATCTCTGGTGAACGTATGGCAATGCCGAAAATATGAAGGGAAAAATCCTAATTGACAATGTCAATCTGCAGATACAAAATAAGCTGAGCACCAACAGGAACACTTCATCCTTTTTACTACCTGATGATTGGGAGATTGTGGAAAAGCGACGTTACAATTCTGCTGCCGTAGACAAGGTACCTGTTTTGTTTTAAAATATTGGCAGTTTTTCTCTTAAGTTATACGTCGTAGAAAGGGTATATTGCTTGTACCTGCTGAAAATACTTGCAGTCCGCAACACAGGGTGAAATTGCACAGATGCACGTTTCTGGGTGTGCATGCATATGCACTTTGCGTACACATCTACAGATGATGTCTTTACTATTGCAAAGCTGATCCCTCTCTAGGGTCACTGACTTCACCTAAAAAATATGTATTACCTCAACATCCTTTAAATTTATAATTTAGTTTACTTAAATTAACTATAGAAAAAGGTTATTATTGAATATTAATCGAAAGTGTCAAAAGAAGAGAGATTGGAGGGAACACGAGGAAAGAAGTTGGCAAAAGGATTTGAGAGAAGGAGAAGGAAAATTATGAGTGCTGGTTTTGTTTATATAGAGCCTACAGTGAGATGTGCTTTATTCAAGATTTGTTTCTTCTTTCTACAGAATGAGCTTGACCGTATTGAGGTGGCATATAACAATTGGCATTTGATAAAGTTGCCCTGGTAGCCATTTAAATGCTTGCGTATGCCTTCCTTCAAAGAACATTCAAATGCAACATTGTGCTGAACAGTTCTTATCGGGCGATCCATTGGTTCTAGAATGCGTTTCTAATTTTTTATGCCGGACATGAGTTAACGTGTGTTTTAACCTCAAAATCAGTTGCATTGCTTTGTCATTGGGTATCACACTGCACCCCAGTAACATGTGAACGTTTATTTTTATTTTTATTTGTGCAGACTTATATTGAGCCAGGGACTGGACAACGGTTCCGTTCTTTAAGAGCTGTTGAGAGATATCTAACAGGAGCAAATGAATATACTTCACTCAAGCCATTGGTACCCACCAATAAGTCTAGTGAATGCTCTTATACAATTACTGATTAAACAAAAGTTTGCTTCTCTATCCATGATCCTTGATCTTGTCCAGTTTCGCTTGTGTTTCAGCTTTCCCCTGGCTCTGGCCGTCAGAAGATGAAAAGTTTGGGTGAGATCCAGTACCAGAAGGTTGTTTCTAGTTCTGCAAAGATAAATATTTCTGGTGAGAATGATAGACCCTCCAAGCTCAATTTCGGCATCCCACCAGCAAAAGTGAATTGGGTCCTCGGAGGTCCCGGGGGGAGTATGTGGAACCCCTTCATGGAAGATTCAAAGGTCCCTGATTCTATAAAGCAAAAGTGGTCCGAAACTTTTGTATCAGCCATTTATGGTGGAAACATTAGTGCTCCAAGCTTTTAAGTTATAACTGTTCTGCAAAGTGGAACTTGTGTAATCTATACTGTTTGTGTCTATTTACTTTAGATGCTAGCCCATCCAAAGTTGTGCCAGATCCTTAACTTTTTAGAGATAAATAGATGTATGAATGTTAGATGCAACTGTGAGGAGGAGGTGGTGATATGCATATACAAATCAGTTGTTGGAGCATAAAAAAGCAGTGTACATTTGAATTACCATTTTGGTGATGAATGCAAAATGTTTTGGGTGGACTGAATGCAAAAAATTGTTAATGATGAGGAAACTTAATTCAAAAAATTTCAATGATTCCAAACTCGGTTTGAATTTAATGACTAGCATCTGAGGGGAAAATGTATGGTGTTTAAAGCCGGATTGAGCTTCTGGTGAAGCAGATTCGAGTTGAGGATCTTTCAAGTACAAAACTGTCTTGCTAGGCTGATTGCAGTTTTAGGCACTTCCCTCAACCCTTTTAATTGTCATATAGTTCATGTGACACCCAACAAATTTTGAGCCAAAAAAGAAGCGAACCATAAGACAATAGCAAATTATTCCACCAAGCGATATGACATCAAAATGACGCCGTCCAAACAATAAAACAATTTGGACCATATTATCAGATCACACCTCTCAAGTAGAACTCACTTGTATTCGTAAGTTCCTCCTGCATTAGTAATACTAATATGGGCTGTAATTATGGAACAAGTACATTCTTCGCTTGAGCAACTTATGTTTTTTGTAATACAATATCACATTCCTCTCGGAGGCTCACCTGCTAACTAAACAGCCTAAAAGTCAAAACTAAAACACAGGAAAATCTGACTTCAGCTCTATATAATTTTCAGTAAGAAATCATTTGTAAAAGAACTTTAAAAGTGAAGACTACAGAAAATCCTTAATACCTAAAACACTTATTAGAAATGGAAAATAATCAAGGTGGCATTGGCATCCTTCCAGATAAGTAGAGAGACAGCTTATCTCTCAGATGAACACCGTTTATGTCGACGGTTCCACAATTCTGTTGGTGGTAAGCTGAGTCATGCTTGTGAGACAAAGGCATTTCATCTTCCACCTCATCTTCCATATCAATAACAATGTTATGAAGCAAGCAGCAAACAAGAATGATCCTTGGCAATCTATGCTTGTCAGGTCTCCACATCACTCCTTGAATGATCCTCCACTTGTCCTTCAACCTTGCCAATGCTCTATGTGCAACCATCCGGGTAGCATAATGCCTCTTATTGAACTCAGCTTTTGGCTCTGGAAGTTCTTTTCCTTCATAGGGGGTTACAAGATAGGGCAGTAAAGGAAAGCCCAAATCCCCAATTATGTACTCCCGTATATCCAATCCTTTGGAGAGGTCTAATATTTTCCCATTCAACCTCTCACCTCTATCACAGAGTTCATAAAAATTTGAACTCTGAAAGACTGTCCAGTCCTTCATCTTTCCTGGCCATCCAGTTACTATGTCCCGAAACCTCATGTCAGGGTCCACAATGGCTTGTAAGACCATGCTGTGATTCTTCTCTTGATCGAGCCAAGCATCACTTGTGGGGTCCGAAGCAGGCAAACACATCATGATGTGGGTAGTATCAACAACACCAGAACAATTAGGAAAGCCTCGTATTTTCTGAAATTTGGATTTAATTTCTGACATTTCTGCTTCAGTGGAGGGCCATTGCAGGTGGTGAAGTCCTCTTTCTTCCATGGCTTCCACAAAACGCCAGGTCACTTGAGACACTGTTGAGTGGTTCACCCCAAATGCATCGCCAATTGTTACTAGTGACTCACCAGAGCTCAGTCTTCTTAACGCTACAGCTACTTGATCATACAAACACAAGGGCTTACCATTTGTAAACACAAAATGTGCAGATTTCGCCAGCATATCTTCATTCACAAGTGAACATATGTAGTCAAAGGTTTTCCTAGAAACCTTAAAAACAGATTCAAACTTGTCTAAACCCTTTGCTGGAGACTGAAGACCTGCAGACAAGAAGGGAGAGATAAGAGGAATTTTACTATTGGGAATGTGGAGCATTTAGATTTTACTTTGAATGCTTTAATGAAGTATTTTCACAACAATAGAAGCAAAAATAATCTCAAATTATCTCGACAGCATAATTTACATAAAAATAATTCCAACATGACTCATGCAAAGTATGGTTGACACTATGAGTTACAGATATATATAATTTATATATATATATTGTGTATGACATGATATAATTGTTCAACTGAATCAAAACATGAAATTAATTTGTTCACATTTCTCAGCAACAATTTTTGTTATAATAATAACAATCTGGTTGATCTTGTGCTTATAAAAAGACTCACTCATAAGTTTGATCACTACTCTACAAACCAAAATTATCATGTGCTGAAGTCAATACAAATGCAAGCACAACCTAGTCTCTACTTACATCAAGGGAGTTTAGATAGTACATACCACACTTCGGATGCATTGCTTTTTAGTTAAGGATGATGCAGTTATGAACTTTAAGACTTACCTATTCATGAAGTAAAAAACTTTTATAAGTGATCAAGAAAATGTTAGCTTTCTGTCTACATTTATTTGATTTCATCACTTTCCCTGCGTGTGTGACTATGTTCATCCAATCAAATATACTTTCCAAATTCATCTGCCTTATAAACCATTATGTCTGTTGAACTTGGCATATAGAGTGCATACTTCAAGGTCTTAAAATACTATTCTTACCCAGCAGAAGCACTTTGTCTCTTTCTTCTTCTTTTTTTCTTTTTTAAAGGGGGTGGGGGGTTATGCCTCATGTTCAACCTCAACTTTCAATGATGCCCTTAAACATTTTGTAGACTTTCTAGTTAGCAAAATTGAGAAAAGACAACGTAACTGGACTGGACCATTAAAACAGAAATCATTACTCTTGTGAAGCCTATCAAAAGAACTTGAGGGATTATTACAGCTTATTGAAAAACAAGAGGCATGGAAATGAGGTGAAAGCATACGTGGGAATTTAGAATGGTAAGCTATGATGGTTCTTGTTGTGTGCTTGTTTACACATAAAACACAGAGAGCTGGCAGGATAACATACTCTAGATCAGAATGAGGTTCCTGACATATATGAGATTAATATAGTTTAAGCATGTAGGCTATATGCAACTATATATTGGCAAACTCAAAGCATACTGAGAATAGTTGCTTCAAGTTGAGTACTCCTTCTATGCGCAATGAAATGACCAACAGTTGTTGAGATAAGATAAGAAGGAACACACAAATGCGTTTATAATATAGTATATACAAAAATTAACAAAACAGTTTTTTCACAGTAACAAACTTCAAATGCTTCCCTGCTTGAGGAAAAAAAAAATAGAATCTTATGAATTCCACTCAAAAAGTCTGTCCCACAACTGCATATAAAATCAAATAAGACCTAAAAGTATTCTTTTTGTTTCTTCTATTGAGTTCCTTATATCATAGCCTATGAATAATGGAGAAACTTCCAAACATTTTATACCTAAGTCTCTCTACATCCAGCTCCACCATTCAGTGGCAGAAATGCTTATCAATTCCAATATCATGTAATGCTCAAACTAAATTTAAACTATTAAAAGAACTATTTGGTCATTTATATGATACTTGGACAGTAGAAGCGAAGAAACAAAAATACAAAAATACACCTATATGTAAAGAGATTTGTGTATAAGTCTTCCACGGCTGGTAGGTAATGGCAGACTCCACTTACCTCAATTTTGGATTACAGATGTGATCTTCAAGCAATGCTAGTAAGTTTGTTCAAAGGTAAAGTAACAAAGCCAAAATTCGAAAGAATAGAAGGACTCGCGTCTTCACAAAATTCAGCTGTTATACCAAGATGAGTTAGATACTACTGACTTCTTGATTGTCTAAGTTATTACATATCCTGTTAAATATAAGGTTCACAAAAGCTGCAGGCATTGTCCAAGGACCTAAATACCGTTATTAACTTAATTATCTTAGATTTATTTACATGCCTGTCAAATTGTCAATGTTATGTATAGTATAATCTTATCCTTTCCAATATTCAAGAAGGCAGTAAAACCAGAACGGTAGGTAAAGGAACAGCTTTAAAGTCAGATTAGGGATCTTCCTCGAATTTGAATAAATACATTGCAATATATCAACACACAAGTTAAATGAGAAATAAAACATAAACCCAATTTGAATTAGACAAAATCAATTTGAAGCATCAACCAGAAGTTCATCAAACATGAAAAGAACATACATGCGCAACCTAATATCACACTAGTCAACAAAAGCTGTATATAAAGCAGCATATCATAAAGCAAATAGACAAACGCACAGAAACAACTACAGTAAAGCAATCAAAATATCAAGGAAAATAATACCATTGATTCTCTTGGAGAATTCATCCCACCAATCCACAGGACCTTCCTTCTCTGATGACCCAGAACCAGAAGCATTTTCTTCAGGCTTCTTATCTGCCTTCTTTCTCTTTCTGACCCCCCTCACAGGACCCATCAGCGCACAGACACTAAATCGAATCAAAACCCAGAAACCCACCAGCTTCAAACAACAAGAAGCATATAAAGCCTGCTAGAATTCACAGAAAAAATCAATACCCATTTACCATGATACATATATGTGTTCACCAACAAACAAAGAGAGGCAGAGAGATCAACAGAGAATGAGGAATATCAGCAACTAGTCTATGACATGCAAAAGCAAAAGAGTTTGTAAATAGCTATAGCTAGTTGCAGCGTGTTAATGGCTGTGTGAAAGTTTTTGAAACGTGCAAGAAAATAGAGAGCTTGATGAAATAAGAAGAAGAAACAAACAGAGAAGCTGTGTAGGAAGTGATAGAGAATCCAGGCTACACATGTGGGTTGGTGTTTGTTTAAGACAATGTGGCAGAACAAGTGAAAGACATGGACATTGCTACTTTGGCTACAATATCTACCCGTACACACAAAGAATTCAGAGAGAGAAGAAAGAAGAGAGAGAGAGAGAGAAAGATGTGTACTTTAGAGAGGTTTTTGCTTAAATTGCCTCGAGTCCTCCCTCAAATTTAACAAAAACCAGAAAGCAATTTTCTCATGCTTTTCGATTTATATTTGTCGGATGAACAAATTGAGGGTCAAGTTACAACGTGAAATGACATATATGCCATTAACTCCTAATACTGGCCAATTCCTGTAATGGAAAAGGATTGTAATTTCTGTTATACATGGCAACATGGAAAGGTGGATATTTTATACCCTCCACCACTATGCTTTTTTTCTTTTTCTTTTTTTTTTTTTTTAAATTTTCCCCTTCTTTAATAAGAAAAGAAACCTCTAAACCAAACTATCAATCTTTTTTTTTTCTTTTGAAAATCTGTTTTTGTTTTTTTACACTGCCACTAGATATTTAAGAGAAGCTTATCATTATTTAGGGGAGTGCAAAATTTGATATTAATTATTTGCGCTTTCCAATTATGCTAACACTTGTACTCTCCTTTATTAATGCACTTAAAATTAAAAATACTTATCTTAATTTCGTATTATTTGTTACTAGTTTGTTTTTTTCAAATTCAAGTAGTTGAAGTGTCTACTCATGCATATAAAGTGTTATGTTCGAATCTCCCCTCTTCAAGTAACGTTGGTATATAAAAACCGCATTAACCATGGAGCTTCAATTACATTCATGTTCGTAGCGCATGTATGTGTGCATAAATCAAATATTCGTATTTGCTCCAATAATGCCCAAGTGTGACACACTCGCGAATAACACTCATCTTTGTCTAATGTATATGAAATTAATTGGTAACTGCATCAACACGAATTCGTGCCTAAAAAGAGAGAAAATAAATAAAGCCCTACGAAAAACAAATCAGCAAAATCGGTGCTTATTATGAGGTTTGTACTCATATTTATTACTTGCGTGGAGTCTTAAAATATTATTAAAGTATTTATTATGAATGGAATCCTAAACCTATAGGTAAGCCACGTGCTACGTGAAGGATGGTCAATTCAAAACCGAGGAAAGGAACGCGCTTGTATGGCCTTTTTGTCCCTATGATCTCTTGGTTGGTTATGAACCATCTTTTCCTTTTGAAAATACAAATTAGCTCGTAAGGTAAGTCCAGTCCATCCCAATTTGAAATTATGTTCAGATTCAATCCTTTCTAATAGCATCTCTAGGGGAGTATGCAAAGGAGTAAGCGAGTCTTGTTTGTCTTGTGACATAAGCATTTTCCTCCTCCAACGGAATACGCATTCAAGTAGGCAAAACTTACATATTTTCTCCAATAAGACAATGTTGCATACTACAAAAACAATAGGTATATTGGGGTCCCACCTATTTAACAAAAATAAAAGTAAATAATACATTCATCGTTGATACAATTGCATTGCCTCGCCCATTGAACTTGCCAACTTTCATCATGAGACAAATAATTAGGCAACATATCACTTAAGTTGTTGAAGTTCAAATTTGTCAACTTTATTGACATACACCCTTAAAGATGCTCTAAAATTTGTGTTGATTAACGCGTTTTTTTCTCTATGAAAACATGAATGAATGCTTTGTTCAAACGTTTGCTTACATTGAGCTTTATTGGATAGTGCGTGTCGTTTTGCTGCAGCAGATGAAGCCTATGCATCAATGGATAATTACATTTGTGCCTATCTACTAACCCTTTATGGAGCAGTTAAGCTTATCAATAGAGTAGATGATCGAATGGAAAAGCCCAATTTGTTGGAGTAGATGGAAAATTGTGGAAGGCAAAAAAAATAAAAATAAGAAACCAGTGTAAGATATTAGGACAGTGATTGTTTTGAAGAAGACTAGAAGCAAACCTTGGTTTTACTTGCATGGCTCTATATCTATTAATTTTTAAGTTTTTGGTGGTGGAAAAACCCAGAAAGGGCATGTGGTTTGTGGTGATATATACAAAGCGAAAATGCTGTAATGAGGGGTTGTAGGAGGGGTTCAATTCCACTATTTAATAAGATGGATAAAATATTGAACTTCAATTTTTTTTTTTATGATCATCGGATGATTTTCGACCAAAAAAAAAAGATTAAATGGTTGGATTGAACCCCTCATTCCGGGCAGAGCTATTCACAGGCCTGAAGTGGCCTTGGCCCCCCTTCCATCTTTTCATCTCCTTTACTATATATAGAGAGTATATGCATAAATTACAGAAAAAATCTCATAATTTTAAGCTTGTGGCCCCCCTAAATATCAAACTCTACATTCAACCCCCTCACCCAAATCCCCTCATTGTAATGGACTGATCATGGACTTTGAACTTGGGTTAAGCAGAAATAAAGCGGCCCAGACCATAAATGGCCATGGTCTTGCTTGGGTTTCTTGGATTGTAATCCATGGTCAAATATTTCATGTGGGAGATACTTAACATAATTCTCATTTACTTGGACTATGATTCAAAATTTACTGTAGTCTTTTGTAACACAACTGGCCCAAGATTCAGCCCACATCATCTGAAAGTGAAAATTATTGAACCAGCTTTACCAAAATACAGCTAAAACGAATAAAGCTTTTGAAGTTTAAGTTCTCATTTTGATCGAAAAAACTTGATAACTGATAGAGTTGACAAGAAGGAAAAATGTTGCCCTATAACTCTACCTCCTTTTCCAACTCTGACTCTCCTATTGTGTCATCCATAATATTATGAGATTCATGTAAGACTTGAAATATTACCATCAACAAAAAAGAATAATGCTAGGGTGACCACATTTTCTTAACCGCATTATATGAGTGAGGCTCACCGTTTACATTAATTATTAGAGCCCGAATTGTTAAAAAAACATCACTTGTAACATTAGTTGGACAAGAAAATACACCATAGTGAACACAACATGGAACATTCAATTTGATATTGTGAAATTGTCTAAAAGATATACTTGACTCTTTCTTACTTACCTATTATCTATTCATCAAACTTTGATATGTGCTTAATAATTTTAATTTTGCTTGTGCATCAAATTATGATATGAAAGACGTAAGAAGTAGGAAATGAGGCATGTAGTGCACTTGTCTAAATACCATATGCAAAACCTAGAGTTTATATAGAACAATTTTGTGATAGAAACATGTCTACTTTTCTACATCATTCCATTATAAAATGCGTCATTTCTAAACTTTCTTGGAAGAACCACAAACCATTGCCTCTCCAATTTTCTAAAGCACGGCTCACGTGGGATGCATTTTGAAGCTGCAGCCAAAGAATATATAAAACATATAGATGGCAATATCTAGGACTTAATTCTATTTCCCAAGTTCCAAAGTCTCATACAAAAAGGCTTAGACTTGAGCACCGTTCACCGAATTTAAGGAACA